CTTCTGCAAGAAGAATTGAAACAATTGCACTGTATTCACCTCTCCTCCTTTCTACTCCTAACTCCAAGACGAGCCTTCAAGCTGCTTGCCAAGAACCTGGGTATGAAAACTAGCACTGTCAAAACCTCCCCAAGTTGCATAATAAGAATAATTTTAAGTTAACACGCCCACAATAAATTTCACTTTTAACCAAATCACCATTTCCCCCTAGAAAAAATGGTCTGATGGAAAATTTCCAAGTAGCTCAAGACCTAAAGAATGGCTTACCTTTGAAACTTTGCCCAATTCTATCCCAACTACATAGCTGGTCCAATAAAAGATATCACCCTACGAAATCCTTGCTGTTAGCTCTTGTCATCATAACAAAATAAGTTATATTAAAAATAAACAAACAAACACCTTTACTATTATCTGAAGAATGATTTGTAACATTAAACAAGAAAAAATACTTACAGTCCTCAGGATAAACACATTTAAGTGTCACCTCATCAAGGATCATATTCTTAGGACAATATGGTAAGCACCCTTCAACCCTACAAAAAAGTGTTTAATTATAATTTCTAAAATTATTCTAGAAAAAATTGCAAGTCCAGAATATCTACATTGTTTCATGAAACAGCTTTTTCAAGATTTCACTGCATCCATGTCTGTTCCTGAGAGCTTTTTCACTTCTAGGCATTTACAGCTTATGCTTTTATAGCTTAAGCTATACATTCATATAGCTTAAGGCATTTATAGCTTACTCATGCCTTCCAGGCACTTTAGAAGGCTAGATACAGTCAGATCCTATAGAGCTTCTAAAGATGTGACACAGCCCTCTAAAAACTAGTAGGGGATCATTATACTGCACAAATAAGTACATTTTTGATATTACGAAGGCATTCAGACTGCCTCTGGAGAGTCTCGTGTTCCTAATTGCCATTAACACAAATTGCATGCATAACCTAAATTTAGTGAGGCACATATTAAAATGGTGCTTAACAATTACAGTTTCAACAATATTGAAATGTCCAAGAAAAGTAGCTTAGAACCATCACAGGCAACCTAAATTAGCAATGTATTTCTGGTGACAAACAGTAGAGGACTGTAGCGATATCCTAAAACACCTAAAGTACAACCACTTTTGCAAACAAACTTTATGCTTGTTCTTTTTTGTTTGTTTGTTTTTAAAGATTCCCTTTTTTATGTTAGTGCTTGCAGGTTGTGGTAGAAATAGACCCTTGGAGATGGAAGGGCTATTTACCACTAACAAGTAGTGGATTGAAATATGCACTATAGACTTGCATAACATATGACAACCTGTTTCATATCACTTGACAAAGTTCAAAACTCATCATTCATTCAATATTTGGCTTGTGTGTGAATGCCCAAGTAAACGTGCCAACTGCAATACTGTTTTTTGTAGGTTTTCCATAATTTATACATATACTATGTCTTTGCTAACAAAAGCGAAGAAGATATCCACACACTACACCTATTTAATATATTTGTTTTCTACAAAAGGGATGAAGACTATCATCCCATTTACAGAAGCCAAAGAAGATTTCTTTTCTTAGTGCCAACCTGTGATGGGCTTGAACCACTGAGTTCATGAGGAAAATCTCTATATCCCATTACCAAGTCTCCCAGATCTTCAGCACTCTCTCTTTGTTCTCAGTTATGGTCTATGCCCCATAAAGATGAGCCTGTATCATAGCTACTGAGCCCCATCATTTTACAGGACACATGAAACCAGTTCATCCTTATTGTAACTCCAGTGAAGTAAGTGGTATAAAATGGTAAAAAATGGAATATATATGTGTAACAAGTGGGCGTCCTGAGGCTGGTAGTCATTTGTCTCAGGGCTAACCGCCCGCCTACCTCACCTGCCACACCTTTGATAATACTCATCAGAAGAGGTTAACCAGGCGGGAGGCTGCTCATTTACTTGCCCTGATACCAAGGGCATATATACATGGCTCTGAACCTTCCCTTATATCATGTCCCATACCGCACAGATGGCATCCATCCTCACACTGGGCTCACAATCCCTGTGCCCTCAAGACTGGGCTCACAATCTCATTTACTCAGGACTCCCAGGGCCTTAATTCCCTTGCCCCAGGAGCTTCACACCCAGCTCCTTCATGGGCTTAGGGCCCCAGCCCCCTGGTGCCTCACACCCAGCTCCTTCAAACACCTTATGTCTTGCTGTGAACCTGGGCCCTGCCTCAGGCCACCTTCTACAGCCTGGGCCCTGCCTCAGACCTCACTGTAAGCCTAGGCCCTTGTTTTGTCTTCAGGGTGTGCTCCTTTAGCCTTTCCCCTACACAGGGTAACCTTCAAGGCAGTGGGAGCTGAGGCTTTCTGGCACCCCATACTCACCCTTCACTGGGAAGGTACAGATGTAGCATTTCCTGGAGACTGCCCTGCCACTAGCAGTCCTACGACACCATCTAGCCCCAGCAGAGTGTAGTTTTAGGTCATGCCCCAGGACCAGGAACCTCCAGCCATCCCCACAGTTCCTGCCCTGTACCTCCAAGACGTTATGAACAGGAGCTTCATCAGGGTGATGCTCTCTCCTTGGCTGCTTGCAGCAGACTGCTGGCTCCATTGCTCAGGGCCTGCTTTTATTTCAAACAGTTTGGCCCTGTTCCCAATCAGGCAGCTGTGCCTTATTGGGAGGGCAGCCACCTGCAGGCTGCTCTGCCGCTTGCCCATGCCCTTTTGAGTAACAAAACAATTGTTACAATATGCTATAAAAACAGTATGGTAGAAATATTTTCTTTTGACTTACGGTGGAAGAAATTTACATGTTACTCCTTCAGGGTCACTACATGTACTAACACATGGACTAGCACAAGGTTCATATCTCCATTCACACATTCTCCTATAAGGCACTGATGCATGGAGCTCTAAGAAACAAAAAAAAATCATAGTAATTATTGAATCAAAATCTTTTCTATGATGTACACATCAGAGTATTCAGAGAAATGAAACTCCTTATAGCATCTTGACAAAATTGGTTACCAAACTGGTAATAATGTTTTTATAAAAAGCTTTTAAAGTAGAAATAATCCTATGATTGTCCAGAGGTTTGGAGTATCAACAATATAAACAGCTATTTAGTTAGTCACAAAATATAGACAATAAACCTATTTACTAATAATATATTACATATGTTGGAGGATTCACCAGCCTCAGACACAATGCAACTCTCTCATTCAAAGAACAGAAAATATATTAACAGCACATTAACTTTATTACCGTCTATCTGCTTTTTATAACGGTTTCAAATTCATTTCCAACAAAATGATCAGTAACCAATTTACATATGGATCATATTCTTAAGGCAAGCTCCAAAATCTAATGATTAGGAAATCAGTAATGTTTGGAGACTGAGGTTGGGGAAATAACAGTAAAAAGAGGAAGTAAGTACTTGTTACTATCAATGATGGAGATGCAGTGAGGGGCAGCCCTCTTAAGACTACTAGAAAAAAATGAATACAACATCTTTTGGGATCAACTTTAAATTACCTTCAATGCTAAAGCTACTTGAACGTTTGAATTCTTCGGAGTCATTATATTTTGACACTTTAACACCAGACGCTGTGAGTATAATGAAAAAGCCTTTTTTGCTGTGCAGTTCAAACGCACTGTATCCTGGAATCCAGAGGCCCTGGTGGTGAAAGAATGTGGCTCTTCTCCGAAATGATGAACTTGCCTGCCACTGTTCTAAATAAATAGTTGCATTGTCATGGACACACAGGAAATAGTTTGGCCTTTCAGCAGACTCGAGGGAAACAAGAGATGGAGCTGTCACAAACAAAATACAAATCAATCAGATGCTAGTTTCAACTGCAGAATGGTTAAAGAACATAAGACTTGTACACTGGGTCAAACCAAAGGTCCATGTAGCCCACAACTGTAAGTAGCAAAAGCTATAAAAGTACAGAGTGGCTGTTGGGTAGTTTACGTTAAAACTGCTGCTCCTGACAAAAATTCTCCAGGGTTTGTTTACAAAATAGCAATAGAATTGAAGTGTAAAGACAGAAGGAACCATTTAATCCAACTCCAAATTTTGGCACAAGATCAAACAAGTACAAAATAGTCAAAAGCAAATTAATATTGGGAATCACAAGAAGGTATCTATGCAGTGTAGAGGGAGGGTGGGGTGGGAAGGGAGGCAGGGAAGACGTGCAAAGTTAGCAGCTACTGGTGCTGCCCCATTCACTGCCACTGCTAAAGACAAGGAGCCTCTGGTATCTAATTAGGGCTGCCTATAGATGTGCTCATTCACATTCTAATTAGAACACACCAGAATCACCTTACTGTCACATTTATTAAGCCCCCACACATTTCAAAATGGCCGTGGGCACACGTTATTTAAAACTTGTCAAATGAGCTTTAGCTAAAGCATCCCACAGCCATTTTGAAATGTGCAGGGACTTAATACATGTGACAGTGAGCCATTTTAATTACAGCAGCTGCCTGGGAACCATTCTAATTAAAATGCTCAGGGGCAAGGGGACCCCTGAGCATGTGTATTGTCAGCCTAACAGAGTAAAGTTTAGGAAATAAAGTAATGGGGGCAAGGAGCCCAATTAAGTTCACGGAAGGGGTAGTATAATGGAACAGTGGTGATTTTGAAGTAGTAATCAAAGTATGAGATGTGTGGATTTGAGGACTTAGTGTTCTTGCAGCTCCTTTCAGGCTGGTTATCTGATAGTTTTGTGCTGCTGAGCTCTCACTGGCTACCTGCTGGGGCCAGAAATAATTATTTTACTCCTATGAATGCATCATTTGATCTCTGGGTTTGTTTTATATATCTATTCAGAGAAGGCACATATCTACACATTTGCTGTGAATAAGGATGGGGATTTGGCTGACGTACTGGTGATCCCAGTAACACCTAGGAAACTCAAGTGTCTGGTTTGTGGGTCTCATTCACATTCGATGGTTCAAATCAAGCACTGGGTTTGGAGGGCAGGAAACAATTTTTGTCAAATTGACAAGGACCCCTGGGATTTTTTGCCTTCTTCTGTAGCAGGGAATATGGACATCCTTCCTAAAATCATTTGTGAGTGTTTTAAGCCAGCAGTGTCAAATAAGTGGCCCACGGAGCTTCTCAAGCTGGCCTGCCTCCGGAAGTTGTAGGCATAGCTTGCCATGGAATCCAGGCCCCTTTATACCCTGGGCAGACATAGCCATTGACAGCAGGAAGGTGAGCGAGAGCTGATATAGCCCTGGTTGCCTTCTGGCCACTTCACCCCTTGCCACTGCCAGTCTCAGTTCTTCTGCCATTGTTCCATCACCACCCCTTGCATAGCTTCCACTGTGTTCCCCATGTCCCATGCCAAAGCTAGAGCTGCCCCCATAGCATGAGGTACACGGCAGGGGTGACAGCTTCAAATCCAGCACAGGATAGCTGGGAGCCAAAGCGGCACCTTGTGCCCCATGCCAGGGCAGGAGCTGGACCACCACTGTATGCCCTATGTGGGGGTCAGAGCTGCCATCTGCCCTGAGCTGGATCCAGCCCACAAAGAGCCCTATGGTCCAGATCTAGCGTGGGATGCAAAGTAAGCGCGACACCCCTGTTTTGAGCTAACGTTTCCAATTCACTGTCATTGCAGTAGCAAAGCACTAGCAGCACCCTTGTTCTCTTCTCCTTATTTCTGGCACATTATAGGATTGCAGGGGGGAGGGGGAGGAGGCTACTTTTCTTACATGGCACTTTGTGGTGTGGCACAATGTAGTTTTGGTGCATTTCTTATGGACTTTTAAGGACAAGTTGTTGTCCATGAATGCAGAGTATTGGATTTGAGAGCTCATGAGATCAATCCCATGTTCCCCTGCACTGAGGCATAATCAAATATACCTAGTCTCCAGTGAAGGAGATACACAGCATCTCTAGGTATCCTCAAATAGCAATATTCAAGTACAGGTAAGCTCCATGTAAATACTGAACATTTGGCTAGGTAATCATTTAGTCTCTCTCTGCAAGACCAGGGCCAAGTTTTGTGAAAACCTCTTTTCTCTCTTGAGATTTCAGGCACTTTAACATTCAGGCAAAGTAACATGAGAAAAGTTGTTTTTAAACTTAAAATTCTTAAATTTAGCCCAGACTAGAAACAAACAAAAAATCCAAACATAGCAACTCATTTGAAGATTTTAGATATTAAAAAAAAAGTGGGGAAATGGCTAAAATTTAGCTGCAAGCATAGTTAGAAATTTGGAGCTTCTGTATTTTCTACAAATATTATTTCATCCTCAAAAGATATGAAAACAATGCCCATGTGCTACATCAAATTAATGCAGCTTTCAAACACCTTCAGCATTTCACTTAAATTATTTTATATACTTAAATAATTTCATTAGACTTCATTCTTTCTTCTACTTCCTCAGCTTTCCATTTTCAAAAGTTTTCAAAAACTTATTTTCTCCACTGCCAATCACTCCATTGCTTTTGAACACAATTTCAGAGTCATTATAAAAATAACCTCTTAAAAAGGTTTGAAAATTACAACATATAAGATACTAAGGTTATGGACAGACATTCGTTTGCAGTGCCGAGAATTTCCAGGTAGTTTGCGGCACCCCAAGAGTGTGATGAGAAACATGCCTACAGGCTGTTTCAAGGGCCACAGGGCATGGGAAAAGCCTGTACTGCTGGCACTCCACAGCCAGGGGGCTGGTATGCAGAGATCCCAGAGTGTTTTGCTGGGATCCCATCTGCAAAGGTTCCCAAAGACAACCCAATGCAAAGGAAAGCACTGAATGGTGGTGACCTCCTCCCCACAAGCTGAGAATGCAAAGCCATAGAGCACTGGTTCAGTTTTAACAGACCGAAAGGCTTACTGATTTCAATTCCATCCTGCAGTGGATCCCTGCCACCCATGCACCCTGCAGCTCCCTACCCTTATGGTTCTATATCAGACTTGGCTGGAAAGTTATGAAAATAGAAAATAATCTTTGTTATGTGGTGATTTTCTTTTAAATAAATGGAGGGACGTAGGTTTACAGTTGAGGGGTTTTTTCTTTCCCCCCCCAAAAGGACAAATTTTGACAAACTATAGTTAGTAAAGTCAGATGGAAAGAGGAGTTCAGGGAAATGAATGCAGACAAGACTTGCAATTTCTTTAAGTCTAGTACAGAAGGCCCAGTGACTGCCATACTCCTACAGGCACAGAAATCAAAGCCTGCCACAATTCTAAGAGATCGTTCAACTCCTATGTGGGCTGGTGTACAGAAACATGTATAGGTATGTGGATACAACCAAGGCCTTTCCCATGTGGTCTACAAGCTCACCAACCAGTTTGGCACAGACAAGCCCACAGTGGGAGACGCAGTGCAGGTGGTGTCCCCGGCTAAGCAGCAGGTGTTGGCACTGGAATTCCCCCCCTCCTGTCAACCTGTGGGAGGCTGGCAGTGCCAGGAAGGGTTATGATGCTGGCTCCACTTCAAGTGTAGAAGAAGGGCTGTAGGGGCTTCCCTTCATCCCAGCCAAGGCCTTTATGAATTACTACAGCCAGTCTCTGCACTAAGCACAGGTGGAGCTTTCAGCCATGCTACTACTAGGCAGGGATCTGACTTTGCCTCTGCTTCTGAAGAGGTGGTAAGGAGTCCCCTTTTCATCCTGGCCCTGGCATTTGCCTCTTGTAGAAACTTAGAACTGACTTTTGAAGGACCAGACATGAACTTAACCACCCATGAGTTCCTGGTGATCAGTGATTTCCTTTTCTGTAGTACCTTTGGTTTCTGTAGCTGTCACATTTGCTTCACAAAGGTCTCCAATTCAAAACCAGGCAGAAACAGCCCCTTCTTCCATTCTGGCTTGCAAACAACACCAAAGATCATGATGCGACAGGAACAGATATTGTTGACATGGCAGGAGGGTCTCAGAGATAGATATCTGCTCTGCTCCTCGGGCAGGAAGGGCTTTATCTTGTCCACAAAGAAAGACAAAGCTAAGCAATGCAACTGCACAGCAATCTATGAGCCTTGCTCTGCCTTCCTGGGGCAGTAGAGTTTGAGGTGCCAGACAGAGTCCCTGGACCTGGGGGAAGGTGGGGACAGGACAAGAACGGGAGACGCACCCTGTTGCATTCTGTGCAAATGGACAGACATTACATGTGATTCTGGAAATTGACATACTGCCAAAAAGTCCCTGTTTTAAAGAGCTCAAACTTTTCTGGAATCACCGTGTCTTTCCCAAGAAAATTTGCTGGTACATCTATACACTCACATTTAGCTACTCTAAAAAGGGTATTTCTTGCTAGAAATATAATCCTGTCCATGACCTAATTATACAACCACTGAAGGAAATGGCAATGCCCCTACTGATTTCTGAAGCACAAGATCAAACACAATATAAATCGAATATAACCATTACATGAAAAACTGGAATAAAAAATAACATTTTTGGTTACACTGGTCAGGTCACTGAGTGAAGAGCTGAAACTGCTAAGAGAGATTTGCATGATACAACTATAGACAGAAATAAGCAGAGCTGAGTTTATCTGAGTATTGGCATAAAGAGTTTTCTGTAAACATCTTCTAAATTATGGGCTTCATAGTTACTAATGAAAAGCATTTTGTTATGCAAGACAATTAAAATTGCTCATACAGAAGCATTTCCATTCATTTATGTTTTGTTGCACCCCTAATATACTTTCTTAACATTAAAGCTTGAAGCTAAATTTTCTAAAATGAGCTATTCTTTTTGTTTTATAATAGGGACGATCATTTTTCAGACTGGCTATTTTCATCTCATGAAACTCAAAGGATAAAAATCATTGCAACTTATTTTAGAAAATGAATAAATTTTTAAATAGACCCTTGAGTAGCTGAAACAGAGAGAATCATAAAAATCGGTGTCGGAAGGGAGCTCAGGAGGTCATCTAGTTCAACCCCCTGCTCAAAGCAAGACCATCCCTAACTAAATCATCCCAGCTGAGGCTTTGTCTAGCCAGGTATTAAAAACCTCCAAGGATAGAGAGTCCACAACCTCTTCGGGTAACCTGTTCCAGTGCTTTACTACCCTCCCAGTGATAAAGTTCTTCCCACTATCTAACCAAAACTTCCAGTGACTTGAGACCGTTGCTCCTTGTTCTGTTGTCTGAGAACAACCTAGCTCTATCCTTTTTGTAGCCACCCGTCAGGTAGTTGAAGGCTGCAATTAAACTCTGCCTCAGTCTTCTCTTTGCCAGGCTAAATAAGCCGAGTTCCCTCAGCCTCTCCTCATAAGTCAGGTGCCCCCTAACCATTTTCATTGCCCTCCACTGAACTTTTTCCAGTTTGTCTACAACCTTTCTTTAATGGGGGGGAGGGGGGTTCAAGTACTCCAGATGTGGCCTCACCAGTTCCAAATAGTGGAGAATAATGACTTCACCAGATATGCTGGCAATGCTCTTTCTAATTCAGCCCAGTATGCCATTAGTCTTCTTCACAACAAGGGCACATTGTTGGCATGCATAGTTAAACTAACGTTGTAACTATCTTAATATTAAGAATACTTACATAAATCTTTGTCCTTGAAAAGGCCTGGTGTTATCATAAAATTAATGAACACCTTTCCATAGGTACTGATTTTAGGCAGAGGAAATATCTTTCTGTTAGTAAGGTTGGCTCCTATGATAGTATCATTCTGTCCATAGCTTGCCAAAATATATGGTCCCTCTCCAAGCCCTAGTAAAAATATATAAAAAGAAACAAAATCAAGTGAATGGTCTGTTTCCTTACTTATAGCAATAAAGAAAAACTTTGGTTACTTACCACTCAAGATTGAACTTCACATCATATATTGTTGCCATAATTCCCCACAACTGGAACCTTCCACTTTACAAATTTTGGAACCATTTAAGCCTGTTCATTCAGGACAGAGCCCCTTTCCTCACTTCATCATCTCAGATTCAGAGAGGTGTGATACTCCTCACTCCTCTTGCTGTCCAAGGAAGTGAGAATGGAAGAAGTGCAAGGGTGTGCATATCAAACAGCAACTGTACCTATTAGTAGGTAATGTGGGCTATCTCCTCATGAAGTTTCTTACTCCATAAATCTTGGAGATGAACTGAAGGTGCCACATGTATATGCTGTAAAGACAAGCTATGGAATGAACTATTTGGCTTAATTGCAAGGATGTAGGTTGCTCTAAGGACATAGGCAGACAAGGTTCTTTGGGTGAATCTGATATCTTTTATTAGACCAACTTAAATAGCTGGAAAAAAAATATTTAAGCAAGCTTTCGGATTTAAAAACCCTTCATCATCCTGAGGAAGTTTCTGCAGTTGGTGTGTGCTCTTTCTGGATGGAATGAAAAGTAAAGAAGCCAGAGGCTGGGCTGGTATGCATATGAGACAGGAAGTCAGTGAAGATGTAAACTGTGGAGTCAGTGGGCAAGAGACAGGCTGGGTAGAGGGGAAAAGGGGGATGAATGTAGGAGTTAACTAGTGGAGAGGTAACCTGGGGAGTCAGATGTCAGGCAAGTTATAATGTGTCATAAATCCAATGTCTATATTTAGTCCATGATTTTTAGTATCCAGGAGGTTGATGAAGTGAAGTTCATAGGTTCATCTCTGAGAAGTGTTTT